GCACTCAGCTGCACGTGGATTTTAGGGTTGTGCTTGTTTACATCAGTTACATTTACATTAATGGGGTTTTGTTTTAGGGAAAACAGCAGAATTCCCACAAAAACAAATGTTCTTTGTGTCTCACGTGGGCACTGTGGCCCTGTTGGAGTGGAGGCTCTGAGGGGGGTGCCCTGGGCAGCAGCTGTCCCTCATCCCCAGTGGTGGGTATGGAGAGCTCCCACAGGGACTTCCAGCATCCATTGGGTACAGGCTGCAAGGCGCAGCACTGTGGGATGGGTCCCACACATCGGCAGCAGCAGGCGCAGATGCCAAGCCACTGGCTCTGCCACATGCACTTGCAGGGATAAATCCCATCCCGGAGCGGGGCTGCTGCTGAAACCTGCCTCAGCCGGGGTGGGCAGCGGCTCCATCCCCTTCCACCAGGAAGTCGGGTGGGGGAGAGCGTTTTAGAAGACGAAAGAGAAAGGGGAGGGAGGAAGTGTAATGACTTCCCCAAATGGCTCTCAGCCTGTGTGTGCCTCTAAAGTTGCCTTTGTGCTCCTGCAGTCAGGCCGGGCAGGGCCTGGCCCCAGTGGCGTGGCGCCGGCCGCCTTTGTCAGCGTGGCTGCGGTCCCGGTTATTAGCCAGGATACAGAGACCCAGAACCTCAGATCTTCTGTGTGGCTGGTGGGAGAAATAAGCAGAGCTGCCTTATCACGCTCATTTAACTGGTTAATACATCTTCAGAGCAAATAATGCAGTCTGTGGGTGAATTGCTTAACCAACCTCATTACTATTGTGCATTTAGCAGCTTGGAGGAAGATAATACCTTTCAGGTTTGACCCAATTTTAGTTTTTGTTGTCATAACCATGGAAAATCGACCTTCAGAGACCCTCAGCAGTGAGCCTGAATAGGAAGTGATTTACAGCAAAAGTGCTGTGCAGAATACCTAATGCACTTGTGCAGAGAAGCAGGCTGCAGCATAGTCCTGGCTCTGCCCCGGCTCCTGGCACACGCTGCGCATCGTTTGGGATGGGGTCTGTGGTGGCTCAGCCATCACCGCTGCTTCACCTCACTGCACGGTGCTGTGCTTCACTCCCTCAGCGCCAGGGTGCTCCTTGGTGGGGCTGGCAGAGGCACCCTTTTCCCTGGCCATCACCGCTGGTGCCACTGGCTGTGGTGGTGCAGGACCCTGATGCTGGTGGCTGTCACCATGGTCCATGGCAGAGGTGCATCTGCAGAGCAGTTCTGCACTCAGTGGGTGCCATGCCCAGCCCAGGGGTTCCCAGGGGAGCAGCACCCCAGCCCTGCCTTAGCAGCTGCTCTGCCTCCGAGCATCAGGGCATGAGTGAAGGCAAAGAGGGGGAGTTCCTCAGTTCAAAACTGGAAACCAGAGGGCTGTAGACCTGTAAAGCCTGGGGGGGGTGCCCCACAGGTTTGTGCTTGCCTGGCAGGCAAGGGGGGCAGGGACTGATGTATTCCCTCTGTCTCCCACCCCGTGGCTCCCATGGCACTTTCTGGGCCTATTTTCTCCATCCTTTAGTTCAAGATTCCATTCCTTGCCTGTCTTTTCCTTTTTTTTTCACAGCTCTTTCATCTAATCGTAATGCACCTTTAGTCCAGCGGGGCTCTTGAGGCTGTGGTAACTCCCTGCTCTCCAGAGCTGGGCTAGGAAAATGCAAATGCTCCGAGAAGGGATGCACCCAGCCCCCTGAGAGCCTCCGCTTGCCTCCCTGCTTGGCTCCTAATGAGCCTCTTCCTTCTGGCTCCTCATCCTCTGCCCGCTCGCAGCCTTTTCGGGACTGTGATGCGCCCCCGGTGAGGCTGCACCCCACGAGCGGGCTCTCAGCCCGGACCTTCCTCTCCCCAGCCCCACTGTGAGTGCCGCGAGCCTCCCGCCTGTGCCTTGCCTGCAAGTGCCCCTCATCCGCCCGGCTTGCGCCGTGGGAAGCGGTGACAGCCCTGACGCCGCGGTGACAGCCCTGACGCCGCGCCGGCAGCGTTCCCACGGGTGGCATGTCACCCGCGCCGGGCGGGGGTGGTTCCCGTCCCTTCGGCTCTGTCTGTGGCAGGCAGAGACTTTCCCAGCTCCGGCGGCGGGGCTGCGTGGGACCTTCCTCTCGCTGCGGTGGGGAGGAGGGCGGCAGGGAGGTGACAATCCTTCCTCCCCTTCCCCTCAGGCAGCTGTGAGCGTGGATGTGCCACCCAAAGCCTGGATCCTGCTGCTGCTGCGGCGTGTGGGAGGTCCCCGTGGTGCGGGATGCAGCCGACAGCAGAGCGGGTGATGCCCGGGGGGGGGGGCTCTGCCTGCTCCCATGGGGGTCTGCCAGGGCTGTGGTGCTGGGGGTCAGTGGTGCTGGGGGGCTGCTGCCACAGGGATGTTCTCCCCAGGACTGTGCTGGAGTTGGGGCACAAAGCAGGCAGGTAATATTAGGTTGCTTTAATTCTGCTGTTTTGCAGCTAGAGGAGAAGCTGCTCTCTCAGCACAGGAGTTGAAACTCTTTAGCCTTCCTCCGTGTCACCTCTATGGACATGGATACCTCCAACTGTGACGTAAGTGAGACTTGGGGGGGGGAACATCTTCTGTTCAGCATCAAAATCCTATTACCAAGTGCCGTGTTCTGCTGCACAGATAGCAGGCTCGGCGCAGATAAGTGGGAAATAGCTCCTGATCCAGGCTGGAGCAGGAGCCATATCTCTGGCTGCACAGGCTCAGAGTGCTGCTTCATTGCATTTGCTGCTGAAAGGCAATTCCACTCTCCCCCTCCTCCGCAACCAAGGGAAAAACCACTGCGGGAATTCGGCCCAAACCCCCTCTGTCCTCCCCAGCACTGCCCCATTGAGAGGGGTATCTCCATCACCCCACTGTCACGGTGGGGTCCAATGGACAGTGCTGGGCTGGGGCCGAGCACCCTCCCAGGAGCGAGGGGCCGTGGCTGGGGCTCAGCCTAAAAATGAGCCCTGAACCTGCACCCGTTGTCCTGCACCCCTCATCCTGCCCTTTCCACAGCAGCAGCAGCTGCCAGGCCGGCCCTGGGATTGCGGATGCTGCGGGCAGCTGCATCTTTCCATCTCCTCCCTGGGGTGCTGCTGGCTTTGATAAAACCTCTTAGCCTTCCTGGGGCTGGCTTGCAGATGTAATCGCAGTGTTTTATTGTGTGGTAAAAGCCTGGTGGTTCTTGGGGAGATGCCCTGTGGGGCTCCACAATCCGCTTCCGCTCCCCTCCTGGGGCTGGACTGCTCGTTTGCGGGGGGAACATGTCCCTGCCGCGGTGGGGAATGCGTCAGCTCCATCGTCCCTCTGCACACCCGTGGGTTTGCTTTTGAAAATAGAAGGTGCTGAAAAAACATGACTGTGCTCAGCTTGTTTGAGGGATGCCGCTGGGTTTTCCCTGTGTTGATCGTGTCCTGCCCTCGCTGCTTGTGCACGGGGGGGGGTTATTTTGGTCTTGGGTAAACCCTGCAATGACAGCCTGGAAGCTGCGGCTGAATGAGTTTGTGTTGGAAATAAGGTGTTGGGGAGGAACCCCGTGGGATTGGGCTGGGACAGGCCAGTGTTGAAGGGGACACCCCAGTGTTGGGGTGGTGGGGCTGGGGAGCTGGAGCTCCCCACTGCTGAGCTGTGCTCAAGCTCTGCATGCTAATCAGGAGCAGAGCCGGATGAGCAGGACTAATGAGGCAGAAGAGGAATTCCAGCAAGTTTGGGGAGCTCCTGTGCTGTTAAACCGTTCTCTGGGGGTTCTCTGTGGTCTGTCTCCAAAGTGGTGGCAGGCGCCTGCCCGTGTTTCGTGCTGATGGAGCAAGCCCAGCAGCACTGGCCAAGGCCTCCCAGGGGGCTGCGAGACTGCAGGGGCAGTTCTGTGCTGTGTTTGAGATCCCTCTGCCCGTCTTCTTCCTCATCCCCCCCGCCCCCGGGTCAGCATCCAAGAGCCTGTGGGCTGCCATCAGCTGCTTTCCATCTCTCCTGCCCCTTCTGACTGCCCCCAGGGCTGCCACGCTCCTGCTCTGCTGGGAACAGGCATCCCTGTTCAGGCACATGCTGCTGCATTTGTTGGGATGTTGCTGGGATGGATGACTGGGGAATGCCGGTGACTGCCTCTGGGGATTGCTGCAGAGCCAGCCCAGGGGATCCCAGCTCCATTTCTGTTTCCCTCTCGGTTTCGGCTCATTGGAGGCAGGAGGATGATCCGTGAGCCACACCACTGCGGGCATTTTTCTTTCCTTTCCTCTTCTCCTCGCTTTTTAATGAGCCAACCTTGGAGGACCTTGAGAGACGCTCCTGCAGCTTTGCTGTGACTTATCTCCCGGCCTCTGCCCCCTATTCTGCTGAGGGGATAAATCTCGCTCCCAGCGCGCCGAGCCCTTCCTGCTGTGCAGTGCAGGCATAGGAATTCCCGGCAGGCAGGGGCTGCCTGGCGAGGTTTGTGGGGTGGATGTTGCTGTCGGTGCCATGATGGATGGATGAATGGATGGATGGATGGGCTGCCTGGGGGGACAAGCTGTTAAATTATCTCCTGTTCAACCTGGGTCAGGGAAAAACAACTCAGACCTGCTGAGTGTGATGTGGGACTGCAGGATGCCGAGGAGGAGGCTCTGGTGGCGACAGGGAGGGGTATTTTTCCCTTAGGAAGAAGCCTTTGCATTTCCTTGTATCCATTCCATGTGCTCTGCTGAGGCTCCCTGGGGAAGCAGAACCAGCCTCAGCATCCTGCATCAGTGCAGAGACTGGGACATGGTCCTGCTGGGGACCCTCCGTGCACCCCTTGCAGCTGTTCCCCGGGGCTGGATGTGATTCCCCCTCTGTGGGGGCTTTGTGGTGGGCAGGGTCCTGCTGCCAGGGTGCCTTTGTGCATGGTGGGCAATGGGGCCACTCTCCAAAGCTCTCTCCAGCGTGAGATGATTGGTGCTGCTAAAGAAGCAGCGCCTGGAAGCCATCCCTGGTGTTCAGAGCGTCCTCCTCCGTTAGCAGCAGCGGTGCCCACACAGGGCCAGGGCTGGAGCCTCTCCCTCTCTCTTTCAGGCCAAGGAACTGCTGCTGTGAGACCCCAAAGGCTCTTCCAGACAGCTCCGAGGGGCAAAGGCGAGTGTGAGCTCCTGCTTGCGACCACAGCACCAGGTTCCTGCTCGTGGCCTCCAGGTACGTGGCTCCCACTGGGGAGGGGGGGGGGGGGGCCTGGGAATGGTTTTCGGTGGAGGATGAATCTGCTGCTTCCCATAGGCTGTGCCTGCTGCAGCAGCCCCCGGTTCAGCTTTGCACTGGCACTGAGTACAGACCCCATACCCACCCATAGAGGCACAAGTGCCCAAGGCTCAGGCTCCGTGAGACGACTGGTGAAAGGGGCATCACAGGGAGAAGCCACGGCTGTTCTGCTCCTCATGGGATGGGAATGGGAGATTCTAATCCTGCCCTGTGGGCTGAGCTCCTTCTGCTCCATAGGGCTGCCAGTGGGGCAGTGGCAGGGTCCTGGTGCTGGGGAGACGCACGTCCCTGCCTTGCAGAGCTGCTCTCCTCTGCCCTGGTCCCAAGAGCGTGCTCAGGAATCTTCAAATAGGGAGCGAGATTTTGAGCATCCTCATCCCTCGGCAGGGCAGAGGTCGTCCCAAGAGGGGGATTAGAGAAGCCTCTGCAAAGAGGCTGTGCAGATGGATTTCCCCAGCTGCATTAATCAGTTTGAAGGCAGCAAAGGCAGCTGAGCTCTGTGTATCACCTTGAAGCTTTTTTCCCTTGTCTTTTAGAAAACTTTGGGTGGATGTTATTGCTCATGAAAGCGAGGGGCTGATCATACTGGGAAGGAGCAGGCGTAGTGTGGGCTGGCACTATTATGCAAGCTTCCCACATGCCGCTGTGCCAGTGCACTCCGTTCCAGAACAACAGCACGAGCCCATGTGCCAGCCCGAGCCCACCCCCGGGTCTGCCGGAGCACCGCGGGCTCGCTCTGCCCACATCGCCCTCACCACGGGCCCAGCCTGTGCTGCCCTGTGCTGCCCGCATTGCCTGCACAGAGATCTGAGCCCAGCAGTGGACAGGGGTGGCAGCACGAGGGCGATGCCTGGTCCTGCCCAGCCTCTGCTGGGGGGGGAGAAGCATGGGGCTGTGGGACAAGGGTCCGTGCAAGGCTGCCCACAGCTCCATGGTGCACCAGAGCTGGTCTGTCACGGGTGCCCCATGCAGAGCAGGAGCCATGGGTGCCTCTCCTGGGACCTTGCAGTGCACTGGTCATGGGGCTGGGGCTGTGCTGCTGTTTGTGGGGGTTTGCAGTCGGTTTTTACCCCAGCGGTGATGTTTGTTGTGTCCCTGCACAGGAGATGAGTTCCCATCCTGGGAATTTGCAGCTGTTGCAGCCAGGACCCGCTCTGGGAGCCAGAGCAGAGCTGGGTTCACTTGTGCTCAGACCAGAGCCTCTTCCCCAGGCAGATTTCTTCCCTGCTGCTTTCTGCTCTGCCCTGAAACCTCCCTTCCTGAGAGTCACCTCCTTCACTGGGGCCATGCATGAAGGCTTTGGGTTGCCGGCCATGAGCTGCAAATGCTGGTGTCAGTGCCATGCATGAGGCTCATTGGGGTGGTGGGAGCAGCCTGGAGGAACGCATCAATGCGGAGCCCCTGCAGCCACTCTCCCCATCATCCCCAAACCTGCTGGAGCCTGCCCGGGAGGAGAGTGCTCCATAAAGGGAGGCTTGAAGCTGAGCAATGGAGAAACATCTGACAGGGGAGCCCTCGAGGCGCTTTTGTTCCAGCGAGTGGGAGTGCGAGATCCGCTCAGACATGAAAGGCTGCGCAGCTCCGTCCCCAAAGTCACAGCGAGGAGAAGGAGGACGGGGGGTGTGCGGCTGCACCGGGAGGTCATCCTGGGAACGGCTGGCACCGGGATCCCCGCTCCCTCCCTCCTCTCCCAGCGAGTAAATTAGGTCACACTCGAAAGCCAGTTTCTTGGCGGTGGATTTAATTTAGCTTTTCCAGGCTAGTTATCGTATAATAAATTCCGGGAGATTTATAGAAAACACGCCCGGGGAGGCTCAGCCAGTGTGTAACGAGATTTGTGCCTATTTCCCGCTGTGGAGCAGCTCAGTGGGCACAGGGCTGGCAGCAGGGGCACAGGCAGGTCCAGCAGCAACATGAGCCCTCAGGGGACTGCCCCAGGATCGGGGGGGGGGTCACCCCACAGTTCCCTGGGGCACGGGTGCATCATGGGGGCAGCTGTGCTCTGCCCCAGCTCCCCACAGCCATAAATCACCGGGAGCGGCTGAGCTGTTCATCGCTTCTCTCGCATTGCTGCCGTGAGCAGCGGAAGTCGGAGCCCGTGCCGTGGTGCCCGGTGTGGGGAGGACCTTGCGTCTCCTCCCTTGCTCCCGTGGCGCAGGCGGCCATGAGCAGAGCTGACATCCGCAGCTCTTTGCTCTGCCCGTGCTGGAGGCGGGTTTGCCAGCGCCCGGGGAAGGGCCGGGAAGGGAAAAGCGCCGCGGTTTGCCGGGATTTGCGGTGCTTGCAGCGCGCCGGCAGCAGGGCTCCGAGGGCACTGCCAGCCCCGCTCCCCCCTCGGCTCTCGCTGCTAACGCCGCCCAATTACTGTCTTATTAGTCACTCCGCGTGTTAAAGCATTAAGCACAATTAAGGGTGAGAAGAGTTTCCAGATGTAGCAGCAAGCGCTGGAGCCGGGAGCTGGCAGCTCTGCTGGCTGCTCCCATATGGGAAGGATCTCATCACCACGGAGCTTGCTGCGGTACCACCAGGACCGGCCCGCGGGACCCTGGGGCCACAGAGATGCGGGCACTCGGTGGGTGACCCCGGAGGGTGATGCCCACCTCTGCCATCAGGGGCCGGGAGCATCTCGGATGTGAGGAGTAGCCGCTGGGATGCTCCCTGCCGAGGGGATTGGCTGGACACTGTGGCTGCCCCCTCAGTAGAGGCACCCCAAGCACCACTCGAGCACTTTGGACGTGCTCCCCGTTATTAAGCTTGCAAATGAGCTCCAGTGAAATACTCACCTGCTGGCTGGGCTGGGGGGTGAGTCAGTCCCTCGCTCGGTGCCCAGCCGGTGCTGGCAGCCCCGTGCCGTGGCCGTGCCACGCTTCCTGGTGAGAAACCGGTGCTGGGAAAGCGCCTGGCTGTGAGCAGCGACCCAAGTGCATCTGGGACACAGTGTGTGTGGGACAACTGCCTCGGTAAAGATAGCACCCGTGCTGTGACAGTTTGAAGAGCAGGAGAAATAGAACAAGAGACGAGTGTGACTTCAGAGCCCAAGTGCAAGTGACTTCAGCTCCCCATAAATAGTCCCTGGGTGGTGCTGGAGGGAGCGAGCTGAGAGCAGGCGGCTCCTGGAGGCTGTCAGGGTGCTCCTGTGGCTGGTCCCTCCTGTGCAAGGTAGGTTGTATCCTCACTATTGCATTGGAGGTAATGGTGGCCTCTGCCCAGCCACTGTTCGTGTGCTGCTTGCCCGGTGCGTTCCTCTTCACTTGCCTTCACATGGGTGGTGACCTGCAGCTGGCTCTTGGCTGGGGTGAGCGCGCTTTATCTTGGCAGCCCTGGCGTGTTTGCCTGCTGGGGGTGGTTGTATTTATAGCCGTGGCCTCCCCATGCTCCTCAGCACCAAACCCCCCACCTTGCAGCCCCTGCTTTGGGAGGCTTTCCCGTCTGCTCCTGGAGGCTCTGGGGGCTGTGGTGACGTGGAGGCTGCCCCAGTGGGGCTGCCTTGCCAGTGCAAGGGGCAGAGGTCCCCAGGGTGGGGATGCTGCAGTGCCCTCATCCGTAGGCTGGTATGGAGCAGGGGCAGTGGAGAGGGACGGTGGCCTCTGGTGTGTTGCAGTAATTTCCCTCCTGCTCTCCCCAGGGCGAGGAGCGGTTCTCGGACAGATGGTGTTTATGAGTGACCTTGTATCTCTGAGTGATTCCCTTGGCTGCTGACTAATGGTGGAGCTGCGGGAAGCGAGCAGCGGTGCTGCAACCTGCTCATGCCGGTGGGAGTTTGTCAGGGAGCCAGGACCGGGGAGGGCTGTGGGGTGAGCCAGGGACTGGAGCCGAAGCCCCATGACCATGTGGAATGGCTGCGAGGAAATTGGATGTGCACTGTGGTCCCCCACGCCCCTTGGCCATGGGAGGAGTGCAGTGTGTCTGGTGAGGCTCTTCTGATGCTCCCTCACAGCTTCTCCATCCCATGCCCCTGTCTCCTTCACCTCAGCAGCGATTTCGCTCCTCCTTGCTCCACTTGCTCCTCTTTGGGAAGAGCCTGAATTCCCTGCAGTAGCCGCAGCAGCGGCACCTGCAGTCAGCGTGGCTGGGCCAGGCGTGGGGCAGCCCTGGGTACAGGGTGCGTGGTGGCACCACCGGCATGGAGCTGGGTCATGGCCATGGGGCTGAACTTGGCAAGTGCACTGGGCACTGGTGAGGTGCAGAGCCCAAAGGACAGGGATGGAAGGTGTGCCCCCCCCCCCCCCCCCAGTCCACTGACCCCCAAAATCAGCAGGGATGGTGCCTGAAGGTCTGTGTCCCCTGCATGGGGGGGACACCCTTGCAACTGCCTCCCGGCTACGGGAATGCTGCAGCACCAAGAGGTGTCCTAAATTGGGGAAGGAACAAGGAGATCTTGGCACCAGCCCGGAGCATCATTTGCATTCATGCACAGCTCCATGCTGTGCGGGTGGTGGGGGCCCCGCAGTGCTGTGGGGTGAGGAGCACCGGCTGCCAGCGCATCCCCTGGTGCCGCTGCGGAGGGGGCTGCGGCTGGGGTATCACCATGCTCTGGGTTTCTTGGGTTTGTGCTCCTCTGCTTCAGCTTTGCCTTCCAGGCTGCTATTCCAGATTTGTGCCTCTGCTGCTGCAAAATGGGAATTGCTGCTCAAAACAGGATTTGCCTCTCACTTTGGCAGCTGGTGCCCTGGTGCCTCCCTTTACCTCCAAGGGAAGATGCTACAAGTGCTGTCACATCTCAGCCTTGGAGCCCAATGGCTGCTGTGGGACCAGGCGCATGGGATGCCAGGCTGTGTTCCCTACAGGCTCACAGCGACACCCATGTGGGCTCCTGCAAATCTTTCCCTACAATTCTTATAATGGAAACTGATAAACCATGGTGGGGCTATTATGGTTCCTGTGTGTCTTGGGGATGAAGAGTCTCATATTCTTATAGCTGGACCACCAGGACCAGC